ACATCTGTTTCATGTCTTCAGAGCAGAACTAGCCTTAGAATGTTCTACGGTGATGGAAGTGTTACTAGTTTCCTTTCCATTTTGGCAGCTACTAGCCACATGTGGCTACTGAACATTTGAAATGTGACTAGTGTGACGAAGAAACTGAATTTTATATTTTGTGTACTTCTGATTAATTTTCTATAAACATTTTGGACTCTGCAATTCTAGGAGAACCAAACACTTTCCAGGAGTAATAAGATTAAAATAATATATGTCTGGGTGTGTCGTTTTCCCTTAAGCTTTCTTCTAGTAGTTTTACAGTTTCTGATATTAAGTTTTTAGTTCATTTTGAGTTGATTTTTATGTATGATGTGAGATAAGGTTCAGATTTTATTCTTTTGCATGTGAATACCCGGTTTTCCCAGCACCACTTATTGAAGTTAAAATAATTCTAAGCTGGGCATGGTGGTTCATGCCTGTAATGCCAGCATTTTGGGAGGCTGAAGCAGGAGGATCACTTGAGGCCAGGGGTTTGAGACCAACCTGGGCAACATAGTACATCTATACAAAAAAATTTAAAACATTAACTAGGCATGGTGGCATGCACCTGTAGTCCCAGCTACTCAGGAGGCTGACGTGGGAGGATTGCTTGAGCTCAGGCGTTCGAGGTGGCAGTGAGCTGTGATCATGCTACTATGCTCCAGCCTGAGCATAGAGCAAAGTATTGTCTCTATCAAAAAAAAAAGATTATAAAATCTAAATCAATTTGGAGCAGATTTTTGCAAGTCATTTAAATCTTTTCTGGTCTGGAAGAAAAGGTGAAAAGGTAGTAGAAGGAAGCATATCTCCATTATTCTATCTTTTGTTTAGCAAACAATATAAGAGGAGGCTTTACCTGATATTCGTATTTAAGCCTAAGACTACTTGACTGAAAATAACTCTTGTCATATTTTAAAGAAGTAGAATAGACTCTGATAAAAAGCAGAAAATACTTAAAAAGATGAAATTCCATACGTTACTCTGTGTCAAACCTTGTGAACAGTTTTGACTGTTGTTATCCTAGAAGCCAGTGGAAATGTTTGTTTTTTCCCCCCCATTTTATTAAATGTCCTTCAGAGAATAGAATCGTATTTGAGGATGAGTTTATGAATGGATACAACTGTAATCTCCCTCCCAAACCACTACTACAGCAAAGTCATACTTGCATCTCTGTGAATGGCACCATTGCCCATCTGGCTGTAGAAATAAGACATTGGCGGGCACTTGACATCTCTCTCTCAGTCATTCCCCATCTCAGTCATCCCCCCACCAGCTTCTGCCGATCCGCCCTTCCAGACAGATGCCTTTGCAGTTCATTCTCATTCCATTTCCCTGGCACCCCACCCTGTGTCCCTCGCTCCCGTTCCTGAAGCATCCCTCTGACTGCATTCGCGTCCGCTATTTGGCACACTCCCTCCCGAGCCTTCCCGTGCAGTCCTGGTGAACTTAAAATAGATGAACCTAATGATGTTCTCGCCGTGCTTAAAATGGTGCTTTTAAATGAAAGTCCTAGCTGGCTTGCAAGACCCTATGTAATTCAGCTTCTGCCCTCCTTTCTAGCTTTGAAAAGAGCTGTCTTTTTTAGGATTAGGCTTACCCACGTATGGCAGTGCATCTGAAATCATGGTGGCTTTGACACCACAGAAGTTGATCTTCTTCTGTGTAAGCAGGTAATCCATGGGTTGCGGGGCAGCCTCATAATCTCCGGGGATCTGGGCTGCTCTGGTCTGGAGACTTGAACCATCATCCTCATCACAGAGCTGCCAGCAAATGGTCTAAGGTGGCTGCCACCGCCGCACCATCGCCTCTGCATTCCACCAGGAAGTCTAAAAGGAAAGAAAGGGCAGTCCCTTCCCTTCAAGGACATTGTCCAAAGTCACCCCCACGACTTCTGCTGCATCCCTTTGGTCAGAACATAGTCATATTGCTATACCCAGCTGCAAAGAAGGTTGTTCCAGGGAGCCATGAGCCCAGCTAATAAAACCTAGGGAAGAACCAGAGGGAACGGGGAGGCCCCTTTGGGGAACCACTTAGGGGTCTCTGTTGCAAGAGCCAAACCCTCACCTTCCAGAGTGGAATATGGACCAAAGTGTGTGAAGCAGAGCAACCAGGAAGCAGCATGTGAGCAGCCCCAAGAAGGACGGAGGCAATGCTAGGGGAAAGGGTCAGGGCTGCCGACTGCCTCTGGGAGGCGGGAGCGGGGTGAGACGGGGGTGCTGACACGCTGTCTTGCACACCGCACGGTTCCTCCATGAAGAGCATGCATGCTTTGACAGCAGTTACATTGAAAGTGTTTCTTAAAACCTCATCTGAAGCCAGCACTGAAGGAATATGAGGGGGAAGCCCCAGAATGGAATTTGTTTATTAAAAAGTTGTGTATATTTACATGTTTAAGCTTCAGTCACCTTCAAAGTGACATCACTTAGTGCAGTACACCTATTGAGACCCTTTTTCCACTGCTCAAAACAGCTTTTGAACTCATCGACGTTGATGTCTTTTAGTGTTTCTACTGTTTCTTGTTTCCTCTCTTCCATATCTGCAGATGGTTTCCCTTTGAGGACATTTTTATCTGGGGAAACAAAAAAAAAAGTCACTCAGGTCACTATCAGGTGAATAGAGAAGGTGGTACATAGGGGATCTTAACCATTTTTGGTCAAAAACTGCTGAACACTCATCGCTATGTGGGAGAACCCTGCGTGCTCCAACTCAGGACGTCTCTTCCGCAGATTGTGACACAACCTTTTAAACACTTCCAGATAAAAACTTTGGTGGACTGTTTGAGCCAGAGGAACGCATTTCAAGTGTACTACAAGAAGCCCACCCTCCAAAAGATGATATCGGATTTTTGGGGGGGTCCCCCCTTGTATATTATTAGCCTTGGATTAATTTTTCCCTCAGAGCCCTTGAAGTTGTGTTTCTATTTCATACCTTGCCAGCTATCTTTGAGTGTTTGGTATTGATGAAAAGGTGATATTATGTACATGATTATTGTCAAGGGTTAAGAACCACAAAGATCAGGTTTCAGATAGTTGGCCACAAGCAGTTCCCCTATTATTTTTCTGTAAAATTAGGACACATGAGGTCTTAAAGATGAGAAGTCGATGAGGCATTAAATGTCTTTGATTTATGCATTTTGTCTTATTATCTTGACCTGGACTGAATCATAATAAGCGTGTGCAGGGAAATTTTTCTGATTGGCAGTAGCACTTATCACTTAAAGTCCTTTTCATCCATGGGTGTTTTGCGACAGGTCTGCCCACACTGAGGACCAAACAAGAGACGGGAGAACTGGAACCTGAGGTTGTGGAGTCCCAGAAACTAGAAAGATAATTCTCTGCTGATTAAAAAGAAAAAAAAATGTTTTTCATCTAAATGTAATATTGCGAGACTTGAGAAATGATTACCTGTTTTTCAAACCTTACCATCGCAAGCCATAACAAGCTTTGTTTGTTAAATATTTAGGCCAAGTGGAATTGTTGCTAATGAGAGACAAAGGTCTGAAAAGGAAAACAATCATTGGGCTTGTGTTTAATCACTTTTTATTTTCTCAGTTCTTGGTCATGTCATTCTCGGGCTTTGGTGCTTACGTAACTTAATTAGGGAAGTTCAGGCAGCAATGGGAATAGGAGGGCAAAATGAAAGGGTAACAATTTAAACGGATCGCCTGCAGATGCGTGATATGGATGGAGATGAAGCCTGTTAAGGACCTAATTCTAGAAGAAGCTCTTGACATTGATCATTTGTGAAAAGGCTGCAAAGCTCGGTACACTTGTCTTCAAACCTTCAGCATTGGTGCATCTGATCATCAGCTCTTGGAATTACTGATGCTGAGCCACTTTGAAAGAGCAGACAGGGTTATTAACTCTGGCAGGAAATGAAAATTTGGCCTTAATATGCATGTGAGATTGAATTGTCTGTGGCACAAAGCTTTGGAGATTACCCATGCAAAATGAGAAAACTATCTAAATTTAAAATTGTCCTCAGTACAGTGAAAAGTAATTTTTTAGATTGCATTTTTACTGCATTGAAATCCGTGAAGAGTTTGGCTCTATTAATTTAGATTTAAACAGAGGCTCTGTGTCTTCTAAAAACGGCAAATGAGATGGAAAATGTACTTTAAGGGGAAAAATAGGTTTCTGGAAATGCTGTAGGCAGGCAGACTTCCTACCCCACATCGTTGAGTGTACCCTGAGACCAGCCGGCTTCAGAGGGAAGGCTCTATCCACTGTGACAGGCGTGTGGAATGAGGACGTGCAGACAACACTTCAGTTACTATTGGAGAGGAATAAGAAGCAAATCAAGTACAGCCCAAGGCGAAAGTCATTGGCAGCTTTTACATTATAGTTACCAAAGCAGCTGGGTCCTCGAAAGAAAAAAAAAATTATGAAGAATTGAATATATTTTCTCAGATATCAAATAACTTTCTTATACTACCTGCCTGGAAGGATACCGGGGTAGAAGATTTGGATATATTAACTACCTTTTCATATGAAAAATTATCTTTTGCTTAAAGGAATTGAAGTTTTAATTCGCTGGTCTTTGGATTTCTTTAGCTTACAAGAATAAGCTATTTCTTGTTAATTATTCATTAGATAAATATTGGTTAAGTAAATTACCATTTACCTGGAACCGTAGTTTGATGATGGACCTTGTAACCATCAAGAATACATGAACACAATAGCCAGAGTGCAAGAAGAATTAATAATAGATAGTGTGTCTTTTTATTGGCCAGAGTCTTAGAGCTATTATTTAATAGAGTTGTAATGATGTGGAAACTGAGGACAAGGAAGTGATTGACCTGTGCCTGGTTCTTCACGCCACTTAGTAGTAGAGCTGAGTCTGGAACAAAAGCCCCCCAAACGTTCAGATGATTTACGTATTTGCCACAGCTTGTGAACAGGCAACACTGCTGAGTAGGCAGCGTGCCAAAAATAACTCCTTGCTTCATCTTGTCTTTGTTTTCTTCCCCTGTGTTTCAGGCATTGCTGTGCTTTACTTGCATCTCTATGACGTGTTTGGAGACCCTGCCTACCTCCAGATGGCACACGGCTACGCTAAGCAAAGTCTGAGCTGTTTGACCAAGCGTGCCATCACCTTCCTTTGCGGGGATGCGGGGCCCCTGGCAGTGGCCGCGGTGCTGTATCACAGGATGAACAAGGAGAAGCAGGTGGAGGACTGCGTCACCCGGTAATCAAGTTGCTTTGTGAGGGTTGTTGTCTGGGCATCATGAAGCATTTCCTCTGCATTCGTTTGCAAAGGAACAGGGGTGAGCGAGTTTCTTTTCTCTCAGCAGGTAAGTGTTGCTGTCGTCAGCTGATCCAGTCTCGTATTTTTCCTCTATTGTGACTCAGGAGCCACCACGATAATCCCTTTTTTAAAATTATTTTTTAATTGTTTAATTTTTACTTTTTGATAATCCCTGTTTTATCGCAAGATATTCGTCGCTGTCCTGTTCCGGCTCAAACATCAGTTCAGTATCGTCGATGAGATCAAAAGCCTCATCATGTTATGACTGATCCCAGGTGCTCTCCAAGATCAGTAATTCAAGGATGCCATGTGATTCACTTCTTGCTGGTGGGCTGGGAGAAGCCTGCTAGGGGGCTGCGGACTGATCAAAACTGCCTTTCTGGCATTGACATGCAAGTCCACATTTCCATTGTTCATATACGTCGTAGCAGTCCACTGGAAGATGGTGAATGATGGAGAATTACTAAACATTTGTGCCAGTAAACTACAATTGTTGTTTACTGAGTACTCTCACAGAATTCCAAGAAATCTGGCTGCCATGCAGGTCTCCTGTTAGGTTTCCACTGAGTGTGCTGACACTCCCATGCAGAGAGTTGCACCTCCAGCAGCACTAACTGGTGACCACCCCCGAGTTGACCATGGGGCTTTATTCCCACTGTTCTTTCTTATAAATTACTCTTAGCGTGACGTAATCATCGCTGATTTAGTTTGTCAGAGGTTCCTTTGGCTAATCTTACCCTGTGTGATGGTGTATGTTTCATCCATAGGCTGTTGGACTTTTAAAGATGTGGTTGTGTTGTATTTAAAGAAACACTCATTCATGCCCCTTTGTTTAATGTAAATGCACACAAACACATATGGAAAATTCTCCTTCCTCCCCCAGTTTTTGCCTGTACAGTGATACTTTCTTATTGTAACTAGCCTTTTCCACTGGAAATTGTAACAAAAAGAGAAGATGGGTGGGCCAAAAGCCTTTTGCTCTGCCTATAATGATTTGTAAGTTATAATTGATCATTTTCAAAATACTATGTTTTATACATGCCTGTGATACATTTATCAGAGGCTAGAAATTACATAGTGCAACTTAAAAACAAAAACCATGTAACTTAGTGTGTTTAGAAGAAAAAACACTGAACGTTTTGCTCTAGAGCTGACAAGCATTTAAAATAAAACCTGTCAATAAGCTTGACCAAAACGGCAGATGAAACAAAACAGCGATTTCCCCAAATTTTAATTAGTGTGTTTCTTCTCTATCAGTTGACTTGAGTAACACCAACCAATACAAAACTGTTTCATGCTCACCAAATTTGAAATGCAGAAATCACCTCTTTTTTTTTTTTTAACTTAGCCAGCTTAAAGCCATTAGCCGCATGACTGCTTTAGAGGTCCACAAGATACTCTCATTCAATGAATCACTAGCTTAAGTACCACCAAAGTAAATTGTAGTAATCCCAATATTATATGTGTATAATATATTATTGGGATTATTATTATATGTGTATTATACACACACACACACACACACACACAACATCAGCATTTCCCCAAAATAGGTGCATCCAAATGATAATTGTTTGCCATGTGAGAAATGTTCACACGCATGCAATGAAAATAGGGTTCATGGATTCAAACACAGTGGGGTTTGTATTCAAACACGTGTTAACCAGAGCTAAGTACACATCTCCTGGCTGCTCAGCATCTTCTACACCTAGGGAAATGGCTTTTCCAAGGAGCAGCATGTGCCAGCCTCGTTCACCTGCACAAGCCTTCCTCACGATCTCCCCAAGGCTTATTCTGAACAACACTGGCAAATAATGCCGTGTATCAAGATTGGCTTATTAAAATTAAAAAGCTATGAAGAGGAAGCTAAGGCTTTCCTTTTTTGTTAGTATCTTGGAGCTAAGTGTGATTTTGTTACTTACATCTTTTTAAATTGTATGACATCGCAACAGTATTTACAGCCAATAGGCGTGTTAAGGCTATATAAAGTGTGGCTATGCAGTAAGTCCTCCATAGATAAATGAGTTCCGTTCCAAGAGGGTTTGTAAGTCCGGCTTATTCCTAAGTCCAGCAAGGTTGGCCTAGGTGCCCAGCTAACACAGTCAGCCATCCAGTACCAGCTACATCACCGCTACTTTTATACTTGCTTCCAGACACTTGGGCTTAAAATAAGGAGACTGTACTACCTGTACTCTGTGCAGTACCATACAGTAAAGGGCACAAAAGCACAACCACTTGTAGAGGATGCATGCACACGACAATGTATGCCAAACATGTGAACTGACTTATGTGATTGGATATGTGACCTCATGATCGCATCTTTGAAAGTTTGCAACGTGAAGTTTCGTATATAGGGGACTTATTATAATAGGAACACATACTGTCTGTGGCTGCAGTTGGACCATTAAGAGTTTTAGATTTCATGGCAAAATAGAAAAAGGGATAACCTGTTAATGACAGAGCTCGTTTCATCTTTCACATCTTACTTTAAAGGAAAAATCTGTAAATCCTTTCAACTCAGTTTTGAGAAATCCAACATTGATATCATCAGTCCCTTAATATATCTGCCTGCTTGCTCTGCTTTCCACCAGAGCTTCTTTCTTCTTTGACTGTCCTTTGGGATCTAACAGACACTCCGTTCTCTGTGCACTGGTCTTCTGTGCTCCACTGCCAGCAGCATGTTCTACTGACTTTCCCTACATGTTCTTAATGTAAAGATCTCTCGAAATCATAATTTTGAGTTTTAGAGACCAGATCATAATTTTGAGCTTTGAGGTCATCAGAAGTCTAATCCTTAGACAAAGAAGTTGGGACTCGGAAAAAATCAGTGTTTCCCTGTGGTAGAGGTTCTTAACCTTGGGCCCTTGAGAATAGTATGGTTTCCAGAAGTGTATAAAACCCCCAAATTCAATGTGGAGAGAACATTTGTACTTTTCTCGAGAGGATCTACAATTCTCTAAAAATAGTGTATATGTGTTCAAGTTGTCCTGCAAGTGGCCTAGGGAGTGAAGGGGGCACAGTGCAATAGCACTGGTTCTTTCTGTGGTCTGGTATATATAGCACATCGTGTCTGTTTTACGTACCCCCCCCCACACACACACACACACAGAGATTGGTGCCCAGCACAAATAGTTCTGAACCCAATTAGATGGCTAGCCTGACATATATCGTGCTGTGGGACCAGTACTTAGAATGCTGAAAAACTTTGTCTTTCTGGTCCAGAGACATATACTCTCTCTTTGTGGTGTGATGAGTCAGTAAAGGACTTCTTTTTTCAAAGTTTCAAACCTTTTGATAATACAAGGCCAAAACCTCTCCCTAATAACACCCAGAGGAAATACCGTGAGGAGTGGAACAGAGCTGGCCTGTTTTTATGTCTTTGTTTCCCCTTAGTGACATTTCAGTAACTCACCTATCTCTTCTAAAGATGAGTAGCTATTAATATCAACTTAGCAAAACAAATAAATGGAGATGTAACAATGTACATGTGGGCTTGAGAGTTTCTGTAAACATGTAAAATAACCATTAAGATTTAAATATTGTATCATTTCTTCATTTTATCTTGAGAATTCAGCATGTAAACCTTGTAGTTCTACCTTTAGTAATCATCAGACCCAATTAATTATAGTGACTTGAATTCAAATCCAGAAAAAAAGTGGAATATTTCCTTTACTACCGTAAACTCTATTATTTTAATAAGATGCTCTGAGCAACACTTTTTTTTAAAAAAAAAGGGTTTGAAAGGAATTTGCTACCTTCTTTGAATGTTCCAAATTGCAAATGAGTTTGGCTGCAAAATAATTAGAATCCTGATTGTATATCGCCACCTAGCGGGAATGTAGCTCATAATACTGGCAAATTAAGGGATGGCGGTTTCTGGTACAGTGGTTCAAGCATTTGTCTCAGCAGGAACATCATTGGAGTTAAAGTAAGCATTGTTCTGGGTAAAACTTCCATGGAACAGTGTTTTCTTGATTAACAGTAATTTCCTTTTTGAATAGTTGTTTCAATCTTCTTTGAAAAAGTGCTTTTTTATGTCTAAATTCTATACAATTGGATATTTATATTAAAACTTGATAATAGGTTTATATCAGAACTGAGACATTCATTCTGTCTACTACAGCAGTTAAGTTTGTATCTAGTAAGCAGATTTTCTTTTTCCTTAAGGTCCCCAGGTTACTGAGCTACCTGTTCTGGTATGAGAAAAAAACCCAGAATTTTTCTTAATAAATATTTTTAAGTCCTTTTAACTATTACATGTGTTGACTGGGCCTGTAATCCTAGACCTTTGGGAAGCCGAGGCGAGAGGATTGTCTGAGCCCACGGGTTTGAGAACAGCCTGGGCAACTTGGCGAGACCTCATCTCTACAATAAATCAAAAATTAGCCGGGCGTGGTAGCCCGCACCTGTAGTTCCAGCTATTTGGAAAGCTGAGGCAGAAGGATCACCTGAGCCCAGCAGGTCGATGCTGGGGTGGCTGTGAGTGTGCCACTAAAACCCAGCTTGGGCAACAGAGTAAGACTCCAACTAAAAAAAGAAAAATTTCATGTGATAAAACATCTAAAATAACAAAGACATTTTTCCTCCCTATCATATTTCCTGCCCCCCCCAGAAACAAGAAAGATTCATTCTCAAAGTGAAGACTAGCAAATATATGGTTACTTTCCTAAGCTTACTTTCCTCTGTGATCTCCTCCTAATTCCTAGTTTCCTGGGCTTCTCTCTTGGTCCTCTGGCGAGAAAGGTGGGGCTTTGGCTCCCCTGCTCTGCCATGGGACTCCCAGGACTGTGCCTGCATCTAGGGCAGATGATAGGGAGGATAGAGAGACATCAAACAACCCACCCGCCTGGGACCAGGGCTCCTCCAATCCTCTTTCTCATTTTCCCTGTTACGTGTACTTTCCAGGGCCCTCAAGTAGCCACTTTGTATAATCTGTCTAGCTTTCGAGGCTGTGCTTCAAGGGAGAGACGAGGTGTAGAGTGTCTTTAACTTCATCTTACCTGAACCAGAACCGAAAATCGCTTTTTTTGAGAAGTTGAACCGAGTCTACCAGTAGGGTACTTAATGAACTACAGTATGTCCATTTAATGGGGTTCTATGCACCTGCTTTAAAGAATGCAGCTACCCTGTACGTATTGATGTGGAATGGTTGTCAAGTTGAATTGTTAATAGCAAGCTGTAGAATATTATGTTTATAAATAGGTATATTTGTGTTTGCGTGTACATAAGCTAATTCTAGGAATATACAAAAATGGGTAACCATGGATGTTAACCACGGGAACTGGGGAGGCAGAGACTCATCCCTTTGTGCTATTTGCAGGTATTGTCGCTGAGGTAGGTGAGCCTGCTGTACAGATACTTCAAGTAGGCCTACGGCACGATGGGACATGATTTGAGGAAGGCGGCACTGGGCTGCAGCAAGCGTTTCACTCTGTGGAAAAGAGGCTCGTTTGAGTATTGTTGTGGCCCTTTCTCCAGGCTAAATGTCAATAAGAGCCCGTAGTTCTCGCTCCTCTGACCCCAGCTGTCAAAATTCTCGTGCTGGGGCATGCCTCCATAAGGAACAGGGGAGTGTCCAATAACCTCGGCTATGCCTTTGTATATTTTCATTCTGTGAATTTTTTGTTTGTCAGTTCTATTGTGAACAGAAGAAATTTAACTGAGAGTTAATCTTTAAGCCCTGATTATTCTAGATGTAGATGTAGATATAGATGACATATATGTTGCAGACATAAAATATATATATAATGTGTGTGTAATTTTTAACATACCATTTTTAAGTATAAATCGATTCTTTTCTAATTATTTTGGGTGTGTGTTTTTATTTTTAGGCTTATTCACCTGAATAAGATTGATCCCCATGCCAATGAGATGCTGTACGGACGAATTGGCTACATCTATGCTCTTCTTTTTGTCAATAAGAACTTTGGAATGGAAAAGATCCCGCAGAGTCACATTCAGCAGGTGCCGTGTTTTTGTGTCTTTTGGGATCCCGCTTACTTACTGTCTGCCTCATCTATTGTTTTAGTCTCTCCAGTTAGCACATCCAAGTAGAAGGAAGGGGTATTTTGACTTCTAAAGGTCAGGCAAAGTCAGAGAGCCAATACCTTTCCACAGAGTACCGTTGGACACAGAGTCAGAAGGCCAACCTGCTCCATTTATGAGTTTAGAGGCCTTTTCAGAAGATGAGAGCCAGGGTCAACCTCCCAATGATAGATGTCTCCTTTTGTGCCTAGAGGAGTCTCTGCTTTCCTTTCATAGGTGAATTCTTGCAAGCTGCAGTGCAGAGAGTTCTAGGCCTTTCCATATCCCCCCTCTTTTAGGCAGAATACGGTCACACCCACTTCTCTGATGCAGAATTAAACTCTGTCCTTCCCTGGCCAAAAAAAGAATTCATTGTGTTCCTGGTACCTCTTAGCAAACAATTCTTTACCTCCGCCAGGAAGGTTTTTATCCTAATTATCTTGTTTTCACCGTCAGTTTTCTTCCTGTAGATTTGTGAAACAATTTTAACCTCTGGAGAAAACCTAGCTAGAAAGAGAAACTTCACGGCAAAGTCTCCACTGATGTATGAATGGTACCAGGAATATTATGTGGGAGCTGCTCATGGCCTGGCAGGAATTTATTATTACCTGATGCAGGTAAGGAGTGATTATATAGGTGAGACTTTAAAATATGCTTCCTGACCTCTGTGCTATCCTGGGTGAGAAGACAGCTGTTCTAGTTCTGTTTTATCATTCCGTCAACCACTGCATTATTTTCCCTGTAATTACTTGACCTAGACCGTCAAAGGTGATATTGCCAAGGTGCATGTTCAAGTGTGTAGACATAAAGGCCCTGTGTTTTGAGATGACGTTTGATTTAGAGGAGCCCATACTTGCCTAAGAGCCACTTGTGCAGAGGAAAGTCTTTTGGCTATTAATTCTGTATGAAGTGCCTTCTGGTCTCCTTTTCTCTTTCAGCTAGTGCTTTGAATTAAAAGGCACACCCTGTTGAAGCAAATTCCAGGAGTGAGAACAAAATCAATAGAAAACAAATGAGCACATGTTACCTACGGCTCACTTAGAGAGCAAAGCTGAAAAGACTTTTCAGTGGGTTGTGTGACTTACTGAAAAATAGCTGAATATGCCCAACAGTTCTTAGGGTCTGATACTATTGGGGCGCATTAACCAAAGTCTAATAGACTAAAGACAAATAGAATTTACTGCTGCAAACATAACTTGAGAGGGGAGGTCAGAAGAGGACTTCTCATGAGAGCACCGTTTTGGGGAACTTATTAAGCTCTCCTTAAAGAGAAATTGGCACTTGTGAATACAAACTCATGGCAAAGAAAATGAATTTTTAATGACAGTGAAGACACTCTCCCCCCATCTTCCCCAAAACCATAATGTGGTATAAAGAAAAGTGTGTCATTAACATGTCCAACATAAGTACTTGGATTTACATACTACAGCTGGTTGAATGGCTCTTGTGGTACAAAATCAGTGTTGTACCTGCCCTCTACCTATGACTAAACAAGGACAACAAAGCTGAAAAACTCAAGGTTATTATTGCTTTTGAATGCAATGTCACACCTTGTTCGCGGCAGTCAGAAACCTACTGTTCTATTTATTCTGCACTTCTCAATTATAATTTTTTTAAAAATTGTTTTAGTTCATTCCTTCGGTAGCTCTCTATTCCCAGTAGTAGATGTAGATTCTTAAAAGTTTTCAGGAAGGGAAAGTCTTTTGAAGTTTCAAGGTGAGTTAGAATCATACATGTCATTGACTAGACATCCCCATTGAACTTTCATTGAAACAAATAATGAGGAGACATACTCTACCTCCTTGTGTTAGCTGTGATAAGAAATCTGAAAACCCTAGTATTGATTTTTCCATTTGCAGGTTATGATCCATTTGAAATGACTTAATTTTTAATCCTGAAAGTCCATTCTAGTAGGTACCTAAATATCAACATAAAATAAAGCAGTTTTATTTTAAGACCAAGTTGGATAATTTTTGCAAGTTTGAGGAGACACTTGCAGAAATTATCTGCAAGTCCCACCAGCTGCCTGTGCCTCACCCCACTGCCCACCCCTCACCCCCACATGCTCCATGCCCTGCCTGGCAGAACAACACTTGGGATGTTTTTGAAGCACGTGAGCAGTCATTGCGTTAGGAACAGGACCGAAGGGAGAAGCTAAAAAATTGTGTAAAAACGGTGGCTCATTCACAGTCTGCTAGTGTGCCCTATAAATCTGTACATTGTTGTATCAAAATAATCTAGGGTCTAGATCAGTCCCTAGGCCAGGCACAGTGGCTCACCCTGTAACTTCAGCACTTTGGGAGGCTGAGGCAGGAGGATCGCTTGAGGCCAGGAGCTCGAGCACAGTCCCAAGTCCTCTGCAGCAAGACTTGATCTAGAGGCATGCTTCGGTCTGGCTTCCAGACTCAGGTCTCTGTCTTGTTAATGTCCTCTTCTGCTGGAAATACCGACCACTTCTCTGAATGTAACAATGGAAGTTGTGCTTGGTTTGTCTGTTTCATCTCTTTGTGGCTCTGTACGATGCTTTGCATATGGAAACTTTGGGAAGCTTCTCTTACACTCACACTCTCAAGCACTGACTTAGGAAAATTACTTAGGTATTTGTAGGTAACAACAAATATTGAAAAGTAATCTACACAGAAGTCCCCAAGAGTTAACTGATAGCCCGATTTTACTTTGTTCCATTATATAAAAATTTAAAATGACATCACCAGAGGTTAAAATAAAGGCATCCAGTAGGTGAAAAATATGGGATGAAATCGAGACCTCTTAATGACTTTCATTTCCTTTTGGTCATACTCTTTTTCTGGTTTAAAACATATCCTGAGACCTGGAAGGTCTGTTTGCTTCAGCAGAACTAATAATTCCCTTTGTTGTTTTCAGCCCAGTCTTCAAGTGAGTCAAATGAAGTTACATGGTTTGGTCAAGCCCAGTGTAGACTACGTGTGCCAGCTGAAGTTCCCTTCTGGCAATTACCCTCCCTGTATAGACGATAATCGAGACCTGCTTGTCCACTGGTGCCACGGCGCCCCTGGGGTCGTCTACATGCTCATCCAGGCTTACAAGGTGCGACGTATTCAATCCTAGAAGTCAATTAGGAAAAAATAACAGAAAAATTATTAAAAACTAATCTTATCATAGTCCCTAAAGGAGCAATAAATAAATCTCTTGTCGAACCTAAGATCACTTTGCTAAATGGACTGTAATTCGATCTCACAGTCTGTCTCAAAGCAGACGTCATTTCACAGACTGGTAGACTGCTTCACTAACAAACAGAATGGCCAAGGTTATAGCACAGGCGGCAGAGCCAAGTTAAGAATCCTAGAAGCTCAATTAAAAAATAGAAAAAACCCTCATGTGTTTGGGAGTGCAAAATGATACAACCACTGTGGAAAACAGTTTGGTGTTTCCCAAAAATATTACACATGTAATCACATTTATTTATGTTCCTGCATATGATCCACCAAGTCTACTTCTAGGTATGTACCCAAAACCACTGAAAACAAGAACTCAAACAGATTCTGTATGCCAACATTCAAAGCAGCATTATTCACAATAGTCAAATATTTCAAGTGTCCATCCACAGATAAATCAATAAAGCAATGGAATATTACCCAAGCATAAAAATGAATGGAGTTGTAATACATATCACAACATGGATGAACCTGGAAAACATTATGTCAAGAGAAATAATCAGGCACAAAAGGATAAATACTGTATGATTCCACTTTTGTGATGGGAAATATGAGATGTCTAAAATAGGCCAATTCATAGAGGCAGAAAGTCGAATAGAGGTTACCAGGGTCTGGTGGAGAAGGGACAATGGAGACTTACTGCCTCATGTGCACAGAGTTTCTGTCTGGAATGATGAAAAGGTCTTGCAGATAGTGGTGATAATTTACACAATTATGAATGCAGTTAATATCACGGAATTATATGCTTAAAAGTGGTTAAAATTGCTAACTATTTCTTATGTGTATTTTACCATATACACAGAAAAACACAAATATCACAACTAAAAAGCTTGCTGTACTGGAGCAGCAATCCAGGAAGAAAAGGTTTTTAATTGAGGGGAAAAAAAGAGGTAAAATTAGGTATCTGCGACCATTATGGGTGCCAAATCAACAAAGTCTACAGGCTGTGAATAGGTACTGACATCTCATAACTAAATAAGCTTTTGATATATCAAATTCTGTGTTTCTGAAAATTGGATATGATGGAAAAACTTTTTAAACTACCTTTTTCTACTTTTAAGGATACTTAGGTGGCAATGAGATATTAAAAACATCTACCCAGACTATCTCGCAAGACTTTGCTTATGGTATAGGAGGCCACAAAAGATTTTAATGGCCTATCTCTATCTTTCTGACATAGTCTAGTGTTTTATAATCAGTTTGTATATTAATAAATAACAGTTTTTTCTCCATTGTTTAAAGAAACATCCTAATAGTGAAGGGCATGATAGTTACCAAAGAAGACAGCATGAGATCTTTGGAAAATCACTAATGATCACAGCTGGTTGTAAGTTAAATGATGTTGCTTCATCAGTGACACCCACATATACATGCATATAAAACTTAGACTGTCCGTGCAAGGTCACACCCAATTATGTTTTTTTGAAAAGCAAAGCTAGTCAGTTTTAATAACTGTCACTACCAGCACAACACATCTGTCTGTCACTAAATCCCTCACCCTTAGGCTTTTTTGCTGTGCCACCTCTCTCCCTCTTCCCTCCCTCCATCTTTCCTCCTTACCTCTCAGGGAGGAGTGTTGGTAGAACGTTCCCTGGTATACTGTCAAATAAAACTCATGTCCTTGACTCTGCAGGTGTTCAGAGAGGAAAAGTATCTCTCTGATGCCTGTCGGTGTGCCGATGTGATCTGGCAGTACGGGTTGCTGAAGAAGGGATATGGGCTGTGCCACGGCGCCGCTGGGAACGCCTACGCCTTTCTCGCACTCTACAACCTCACGCAGGATGTGAAGTTCCTGTACCGGGCCTGCAAGGTGGGAGTCAGACACGCCACACAGAAAAGCACCTCTTCCGGGTTGTGGAACAAGCTCTGGTTCCTCGATTGGATCCGTTTATTCCTAACACCATGAGTCTATAAATAACAAACACAGTTACTTAAGAAAAACCTTCAAACACTTTCAATTAAATTAGCTCTACTCAGCAGCATTTATGGAAGAAGAAAAGAAAGAGACTGGATGATTATTTGTCTTTCTTCTTTTTTCTTTTTTTTTTGAGTTGGAGTCTCACTCTGTTGCCCAGACTGGAGTGCAGTGGTTGCTCCTGGCCACCGCAGCCTCGACCTGCTGGGCTCCGGCGATCCTTCCACCTCAGCCTTCCAAGTAGCCGGAATTACAGGCATGCGCTACCACACCCAGCTGATTTTTTGATTTATTGTAGAGATGAAGCCTTGCTGCCCAGACGGGTCTCGAACCCTCGGGCTCAGGCAATCCACTCACCTCAGGCTCCCAAAGGCGTGGGATTACAGGCTGAGCCACCGAGCCCGGTTTTTTTTTTGAGTTGGAGTGTTACTCTGTCGCCCAGGCTGGAGGGCAGTGGCACACTCACGGCCAGCTACCCCAGTGACGACCTGCTGGGCTCCGGCCATCCTTCCACCTCAGCCTTCCAAGTAGCTGGAACTACAGACGCACGCTACCACGCCTGGCTAATTCTGGATTTTTTGTAGAGACAAGATTGCTTAGGCAGTCCACTCGCCTCAACCTCCCAAAGTGCTGGGACTACAGGCTTAGCCACTGAGCCCGGCCTTTCTTTTTTAAGTAGTGAAGGCGGGATTTAAACTCATACTCTAGTCTCGCAGAGAGAAAATGCTTTGATATTATTCTAGAATTTCTCCTTGTAGTGATAGTCTTTCCCGCATTCCACCTCTGCCATCCATTTTCCCTTTTTCTTTTTTTCATTTTCATTTTAAATATGTGGGGTACCATTCAGGGTTAGGTTTACAAATGTTCGTTCTGTCCTTTCTTCTGTAATAAGCCTGGAGATACATGGCTCAGATAGCTCTTGAAATTCCTCCCATGCTGCGTAGTCTCTTTCAGACCTTCCGTTTCTCTGCATTAATCCCCTTGCTCTGACGTGAAGGTCATTTTTGACTTTTCATAGTAATCCACAGGGACAACCTCTTAACTTTTGGTAGTCTCTGGAAGAAATCACCATAGTCATATAACTTGGTCTCATTTTCAGTTTGCTGAATGGTGTTTGGAGTATGGAGAACATGGATGCAGAACACCGGACACCCCGTTCTCCCTTTTTGAAGGTATTTCTTACTCGTTACTGACTTGCCTGATAATATTGACATCTGCTTTTCTGCTTGGTAATAAGGGTATTTGGATTTGAGTTTTATCAAAAAATTAATTTTATGGTCATTTCTTCCATTACTTTATTTCCTAATGTGACAAATCAGTGTTAAAAATCATTTAGCACATGTACCACCCCAGACCTAATAGCGGTCATACTGGTGACTCCCACTGATGGAGCCAGGCACGTGCTGGGCGTTTTGCAGATGCCGTCATGAGTCGTCCAGCAGCAGCATCCAGGCCCTGCTACCCTCATGTCACAGAGAGGAGACCGAGGCTCAGACGGATAAGGGTCCACAGGGCCATGGTGAGGTCACATGCGGAAATGGCAAGACTGTAACTAGAACTTGTCTGGCTCCGTTCTGGCTCCTATCTTCCACCTGGATGTAAAGGCTAAGTGCCTCACTGCTGATCACTAGTGTTGCATGTGTATCAGTATAGACGGATCCCTGCTTCATCAGTGCCATTAGCATTGTACTGTTGATGATGCCAAAAAATGGAGTCATTTGGTGTGTTAACTTCTGCCTCTCTCTCTTTTTCTTCAGGAATGGCTGGAACAATATATTTCCTGGCTGACCTGCTAGTCCCCACAAAAGCTAGGTTCCCTGCGTTTGAGCTGTAAAAGGAAAGCCTATCTCCTGCTAGTCACCGCATGACCTTTTCTGTATATTCAAACCTGGCTAAGTGCTTCTGTTGCTTTTCAAGGAAACTTGAGTCAAAACTGTGTGCTTGACTTTGTTATTATTTTCAGAGTTTATGTTCAGTTCGGTTCCTTTTTTTAAACATCTACTTTTATGTTTTACTTTTTCCAAGGAAGTCTTTTAACTTGAATTTTACTTTCTTCCTAAAGGGAGGGTGAGTGATAATATGTACAGTATTTTGAGGTCAAATATGTATATTTGAGAACTTGGAGGAAGTTGTATTTTTGTTTAAGTTTATAAATAGAACCATCTGTTACCGTGCTAAAAAGTTTAGGAAAGCTATAGATAAAAATAAATACATGACTATTGTTGGACATCTCTTGAGTATTTTTCCTCCAACAAGTGAGCAGGCAGTTTTATGACTTGCTTTTCTCTAGGTGACTGAATATGAAAGGAACAAAAATACAACTGCATGCTGCTGGGAGAAAAATGTCAAGAGTTGCAAACTGGACTAAGGATGTAAATACTATTTTTTAAAATTCATGTTGCCTATTTGGACGAGAGGTAAACATACTTTCAGATTTGCCTGTTTTTGTCATGAAGGCATTCAAGCTTGCAAAGCCAACAGTTTAATCCAAAAACTTCTAAAACATGATAGCCATTATGAATATTCTGAATTGAAGGCTAGTTCAAGATAAGCTAATAATAACAGTTTATTGTTTTCTCTAATATAGTTTGTTTTGGAACTGTCTATTTAAATACGCTTGTTTGTCAGTCTTCATGTAAGATCAGAAGCTAATTTTCTGTGTGTAAATATGTTCAAAAAAGGACTCTAGTCCACTCTGATTGACTGACCTCCTGAACTTTGATTTGTGTTTTTTGCAATATCTATGCTTTAGTTCTGACTGGTATAAGCCATAAGATATTTTCCTTAATAGTACAGCATTCTACTTCTGTTTAAAAAAGGGGATAGGAAGGGGGAATACTATGTAACCAATAACTTGAACAAGAACACTAAACTTTTGCTAGAAATGCTGTTTGTTTAGGAGGTGTTGTCCAGAATTCCCGCTTAGAGCAAATGGATTTCTGCATGTCCTAGGCTTAACAATTTCCGTTTCTCAGACCACAGAATCGGGTGTTCTATGGTAGACGAAGACTCCTTAGTGCTGCAGATCCTGGATAAATGCTTTGACTCTTAGCTCCTCTTCCTCCTTCTTCCACTGCTGCCTTTCCCAGGCCTATTTGCCTCTTTATGAGATTTTGGAAAATTTGAAGCTTTAAAAAAAAAAAAACACTGTCTAAGAATTTAAATGTGCCTATTTTACAGTTCTCTTGGTCACAGAAACATGCCATTTTTATTGAAACTTTGAGTCCAGTCCTCACTGAGTGTATGCTGGGTCCTGCGGGTAGCAGTCCCCTGTTATTTTCTATTTAGCTCCAAAAATAGCTAATATTATTGGAAATTGTCTGACCTTTTAAAGGCCAGTAGGATCTAAAAAGCAGCCCACTGCTCAGCTTCTAAGATAGTGTACTCCTGTGACTTGTGTAAGTCGGGACTTCCTTGTGCTTCTCAGATGTGTACAGTGCCGCTGCTAAGCTGTGGGCAAGCTGGGCCTTTCTTGTAGCAGTTTCCAATCAGTGACATCAGCATTTACAGTAAGAAGTAATAGGAGTGCAACAGCAAAGCTCATTGGCCTTTGACTGCACGTCCAACTTCAAAGAATAAAGCTTATTTAGTTGGCCAGCGTGGTGGCTCAAGCCTGTAATCCCAGCACTTTGAGAGGTTTAGGTGGGAGGATTGCCTGTGCCCACAGGTTTGAGACCAGCCTGGGAAACTAGGCAAGACCTGGTCTCTACAGTAAATCACAAAACTAACTGGGTGTTGTAGCTCACACTTGTAGTTCTGGCTGCTTGGAAGGCTGAGGTAGAGGGATTACCAGAACCCAGCCAGTAGACGCTGGCGTGGCTGTGAGCATGCCACTGCCCTCCAGCCTGGGTGATGGACGAGACTCCAACTCAAACAACAACAACAACAACAAAAAAAAACCTCATTTAGTTTACTTAAATGTCTTATTATATGTGCCTGAACTTTTAGCTAGAGGCCAGAGGAGAATTGATCACAGTGCTTCCCCAAGCGTTTTCATTAATTTAACCACCGGGAGATGTCAAGGCAGGGAGAACATTTTGACTAAGATTCTTGTTAATATTTGGATTAACAGTTTAGCTCCTGTCATCTATTAGCAAATTCATCAACACAAACATAATTCAAGTTTGTTTGTTTAGCTTTTCAAAACTGTTAGTAAACTGGACTTTATGTTTGTGCGCGTTTGTTTTATTATGTGTAAGAGCTAAGAAAGTTTTGAGAAGATTTTAAGCTGGGACACAGCCTACAAAAAACAGGCAATCCCTAATAATATGGTAGTGATGGAAGGGAACTTTGCATCCACTTTCTTAGTTTTAAGAGGAAGGGGCATCGTTGTTTCAGTTCTATTTCTGCGACATGTTTTGCTCAGATATTTTTCTTCATGGTTAAAAAAACCTTCCCGAAAGTTGCTTCCTGGAAAACTCAGTAGCATTCCTTATCACCATGCAAGACTAGATAATAGACCCTTTAAAACTTGCCAAGCGTGTTTGTTTATCTTGTCATATGTTTCTGTTTGTGTGGTAATGTGAATTGGAAGTAGTTAATTTTTCATCATGTAAACAATGTTACTCTTCCTGTGGCTGTTTCCATCAATCCTGGTGGACTCTGGTCTCCTTCGAGTTGTGGGTCTTTCATCCTGATTCGTTTGCTCCCTTTCATCTTTAGTGTCAGTTCCAAGTATTGGGCATCAAAAGCCTTCATGGTAAGTGGAGTTTGAGGTAAAAGTGGATCTAAGGTCATTTTCTCTCCTTATTAACACTTCCCTAAATAACTGATTTTGGAAGACATACACTACTTCTGTGTGCTCAGGTTAATTTGTGTCTGATGTGATACCCTGCCTGTTACTAGCTAATTTTGAAGTACAAAATGTCAAGAGCGATTATTTGCTGCTCCTTTGGCTACTGAAACTCATCTATAGTCTTTTTCTTTTTTTTTTTTGAGTTGGAGTCTCACTCTGTCGCCCAGACTGGAGTGCAGTGCTGCTCCCAGCCACCGCAGACTCGACCTGGTGGGCTCCAGCAATCCTTCCACCTCAGCCTTCTGAGTAGCCAGAATTACAGGCACGCGCTACCATGCCCAGCTGATTTTTTTATTTATCGTAGAGATGAGATCTCGCCAAGTTGCCCAGGTGGGTCTTGAACCCGCAGGCTCAGGCAATGCACTCACCTCAGCCTCCCAAAGCGTGGGATTACAGGCTGAGCCACCGAACCTGGCTTATAGTCTTTTTCTTACTCCTACTGAATTCTAATTCCATTTCTGCTTCCCCTAAAAAAGGCAGAGCACCCATTTCTGTATTGTCTGTACTGCTGAGCTGTAGAAGGACTATTTCTCTCATAGATATAAAGCACGCTCTTTGGGATATTCAGAGAACCTACCCCAATGTTATACTGTCATTAAATGGGGAGGACTGGGATCATATGTATTTCTATGTTCTGTAAAGGATTTGACTTACTGGTTCGCAATAAAATTTTATTGGGACTATATATTGTCATGTGCTTTTGTCTTTTTCTTTCCAAACTTGAGAAATATTTTCCTTCAGTGATAAATGATGGATTTTTTTCTCTTTACACTCATTTTCTAAGGTTTGTTCCTGACTTTTTCTTCATTGCTGAGTCAAACAAGATTTGCACTACTGTCTGAAAATAGAGATTTATAAGAGGAGAGTATTTTTAAGTCTGATCATTATGGAGTTAGAAGGAATCTACTAGGCTTCAAGCAGAACAGTGTATTAACCATTTCATACATGTGAGAATCTACACTGAGGTTCATAACTCAAGACCTAATTCTAGCAATTGATTTCCCTGCTGACCTGTTCAGAAAGGAACTTTGACTAGAGAAGATTAAAGGAGGCATAATTACAAAATTTATATGTAGCAATTGCAAAGAGTTCTGCTCAGTCACTTGGGATGACTTTGTGCCACTACTTTTCATGACACTGCTAGTTAGTGTCACTCAGCACAAACGCGATGTACCTAATTAGAAAATACTTATTTCATCTCGAAATTACATTTTGTCACCTGGTACATATGATTAAAATGTCCTTCACGCCCCTAGTCAATTAATTGAATGAGTTACAGTACTGAGGAGATGTGCAGTTCTTTTTATTTACCTTGATTAAATGAAGTAAAGGGACATACAGTGATAGCAAGTTCTTAGATGTAGGCAACAAGTCGTCATGGAGAGCACAGTGCCTGGCAGAGGTCACACAGCCTCCAGAATGGAGCTTGAAGACGTCCCACTGGCTCTCCCTAAGACTAATTTCTGTTGGTAAGGCCGGCTAGCACTGCTGTCTAGTTTACCACTCTCTGACTCACCTTCCTACCAGAAGAAAAATCACGACAAGCACAATTACACCATGGTTGTAATCTTGTGAACAAAGGAAACGAAGTCATTTGTCTCTCAAAACTTACCTACAATCGTTTGATTTGTTTTTTCCTAGTTTTGCATTAAGAGTGAATGACCTTTGCCTTTCTCCTTCTCTTCCTACTCTCGGAATAGAAGAGAGTACTAATTTTTATGCCATTTCTCTTTCACAAGATCGTTTCCCAGTGTGGATGCATCATTAAAGTTCTCATGTATTCTCTATTTTTATAAGCATCACTTAAACAGAACAACCTGCAAGTCAGTCCCCTGAAAATGAGCATTCTCATTCTGTTTCCCATCCACACTCACAGTCTTCCTTCTAAAGCTGTGCGTGAATTAACAAAGCAAGAGAACACAGGTTTTTTGTTTGTTTTAATCGTGGTAAACGTATTGGCTTTATTGGTCCCATTATGTAGACTGTCCAAACACCATTTCCAGAAATCCTGTGCTAGTGCGTCTGCAGGGACTTCTTTGGCAATTTTGTGAGTAATGGGAGGAAGCAGCAAACAATAAGCCAGGAGGTGAAATGATGAGGATTGAGAAATGGATCTTAGCGGGACCACTGCTCGTAGTCAACCAGTTTAATTTCACATTTCTACATGATGTTAACTTTTCATCCCCGTGCAAATTACAACCATGGTGACATTAAATCTGTGATGAATGTTTTCTATTACTCGACAAATAAGTGTTAGAGAAAGCGTTTGTGAGGTACTCAGTCATTATGAGGGGAAAGGCATAACTCTTGATGAAGTACTGTCACACTTGCCTAATTTCCCTGATGGAGTTGGGATATGAAGGAAGGCATTTGTGCCCCCAAAATACCGATGTGGCTCCCTATGAACTTTGATGGCTAATGTTGGTTGTTTT